ATCTTTTTAAGTGGGAGAACTTGCACAATTGGTGACTGACTAAATACTTATTTTCCCCACTGTATCGTATTGTGATCCCTCTGTTATGATATGTATCATATCGCCAAATTCTTGCCAATACACAGCCCTACTGGAAAATAGTTAAAAAATCATCCCCACCAAGTGGCAGTTTAACCAAATYGATCTTTATTATCTGTAGAGGCAGTCAACTCTTCAGACACTCTACTGTAGTGTCTGCTAACAAAACTGTTAAAACATAAAAGAAAAACCCAATCAGTTACACCAGAACACGAAGACAGAATCAAACTTGTTCCATACAAGACCTGCTGTCTGTTACTCACGGGTAAACTTTAGATCCAGGTGGGTTTTTCTGCAAGAAGCAGAACAGAAGAACCAAACAAACAAATAAAACATTGATTTAACATAAAAATAAATGCCTCTCATTTATTATTAGTTAGCTTATGTACATTTTAATGTAATCTGAGGTTAGACCTAAAAAAAAATAACCTCAGCACTGTCCAAACTATTTGTTCAAACCAAAGACTTTTCCTTACAGCTTCTGAGCATCTTGTGTTCAGAAGCTGTAAGAGTTCATGTCAAAAATAAAAGAGCTGAGTTGTAAAAACCCATAGAAACTCCACTTCTTTAATGAAGTCGGTTCAATTATTTCTTTCCATGATGTGAAAGAGGTTTTTCGATCTTTAACCTTTTTTCTGAGGGTGAGGACCCCGACTCTCCCTCCTCAGAATCCATGTGAGTCCGTTTCAGAGTACTATGTGCCAAGCTGGTCTCTCTCTGTGACCTTGTGCGCTCAGATGGAAGTTGGCTTTCTTCCTCTGACTCTGAGGACACATGTGGGTTAGCTGGTGTCCTGGGTCGGTGCTGCCCGTTTACTCCGGGGCTATGTCGGCTCTGGAAGTCTGCAGCTACGGAGCTACTGTTAGCTTCTCTGCTATCAGGGCTGTCTGAAGACAGGTTTGGCCTCTCAGTCCTGTGTGCACCCACTAACTGAGGGGATGCAGTTGGTCTGTCCTGCTGAGTCCTGTCCCCGTCCTCATTCTCTTGACTCCCAGGAGACATTACTGGACTTGAACACACAAAGTCAGATGGACTCAGACACTTGTCATCCTCTGTGGCACTCACAGCATGGGGTTTGATTTGAAGGGAGTTTGGTTCTTCACCTGATGAGGAGGAAGACAAGTCGACAGAGATAGATGGGTAGCTGCAAGAGTCGATGGCTGAGAACAGAGCCTGGTTGGAGCGAGGCGAGTTCCCAGCTCTAGAGACCACATGCATACGTCGTCGCCTCGTGACATTTTGGCGCCTCACGTTGCTGCGTCGCTCCTCATCATCACTGCTGGAGCTGGAAGAGGATGTGGAGGAGCTTGACGCCTCTGCAGGAAGGGAAGGAGAGGAGGTAGGGCTGGAGATTGTGGAGTTCTCCCTGGGACTTGGGGATCGAGGGCGGGGCATTGGGTCGAGCCAAAATTCACTCGAGTCTGAATCTTCATTCACCAGGAAGCCGGACTGATTACGTGATCTTATTCTTCTCCCGGGGCACTCCTCCCCATCCTCTCCGGTCTGCTCATCTCCTCCTGACCCATCGGGTGCAGCCAGAGAGGAAGAGGAGGAGTTCTCAGAGTCGCTGTGGTGATCAGCAGCTGAGGCGGCAGCAGGAGCTGCCGACGTGATCCGCGTGGAGCGACGCCCACGTGCATGGAGCTGCATGATGGCCTCCTCGCTCAGATCGCTGTCAGAGTCTGAGCTCCAACCTTCAATCTCCCGACGCACCAGGGAGTCAAAGAAAGCCATCATGCGGGGATCCTCCTCAATAGATTGGCTGACATAGTCATGGGACAGACCGCTGCCGCTGTTGAGCACCAGGCTTATGTACTCCTCGTGGGAGTAAAGGCTGCGGGACTTATCCTCCACACRGCCCTCCAGATCCCCTTCGCTACCAGGCTGCTGGTAGGGACTCCACAACTGAGATGGACATGAAAGAAAAAAGAGACACATTAAAGTTTGGACAGATGGCAGTTTGACAGAAAAGAAATTACAGATAAAATTACAGATAAAAAGTGAGGAGTAATAGTCTACAGTGCAGAGATCTGAAGAGCCTGAAAAATGTTCCYCTAATGCCTGGTTCACACATCAAGGTTGTAGAAATGTCGGCTGATTTTCAAAACCTGAGAGGCTCCACACATGATATAAAATCATACATGTGACAGGTTTGGTCCTGCAGTGTTTGTTGTACTTGTGTGTAGTGTTTGTTCATGTGTGGTGTGGTGTCTTTGCCWYRWGGCAAAGACACCACACCACACATGAACAGATTTCACTCACCAACRTTCAGATGGCAGATGGGAAATCTCACAAGACCTCTCAAGATCAGACAGTTCAGAGTAAATAAACATGGCCGACAAGGAGGAAGCAATGCTGATAGTCTGTGGACTAAATTTTTAACAGCTTTCTGATTGGCTACATGTCAGATTCAACAGGCTGCAGCTCATTTGTCCTGGGGGAACACCACACACACAATCCAACATGTTAAATGTTGCAGATTTGAGATCAGAGTGGTCCCAACATACTTCTGAGCCGACTAGATCACTCCACACAACACACGCAGAAATATCTCCTAAGATTGTCTTTAGAGTAGTAACCTCCACCACCTTAAAATACCCAGTAACTAGTTATATAGTATTATTTACTGTAGGGCTGCAACTAACGATTATTTTAATAATGGATTAATCGGTTGATTATTTTTTTCGATTAATCGATTAATCGGCCAAATCATTAAAACGCTTAATTACATGAATATGAGTAGATATAAATTAAGTTAACTCCTTAAGGATGCAAGTTATTGATAAGGAATTAATCTGAAGTTGATTCATCTTATAGATTGACTAACAATAAGCAGCCATTATTTTAAAAAACTGGAGTTTTCTCTTGAATCAAGAGGGTCTTCCCATAAACTGAAGGATTTTTTTATAATCTCCTGGATTAAAAAACAGAAGCACATAATACATATTTTAACAATTTATTTTGCCAGCTGTATTAAATACTGACTGAAAATAAAAGTGTATTTCTCCTACATGAAACATAACAGAAATTTAATAGGTTGCTGAATGAGGAAAATAGATTAAAATAAAATATTTTTAGATGTAAAACTATTATTAATTTATTATAATTAGAATTTATTTACATTTAACATTTAYTTTTTTCTCTAATTCTTTACTTTTTGTTTCAATCTTGTTGGTTCTGTTTGACTAAAACATTGTTTGACCCAATAAAAATGGTTCTGAAGCAGCCCCCCACCCACCCCCATCTCCCTGCAGACCTGCAGCTCGATCACGTCCCCTTTTTTTTCCTTCGTCTTGAACCGTTTTGCTGCTCAACAAATAAATTTGGGCCTCAGTCAGAAAAAACTGGAGAGTTTATACTTTTGGCCCCAGAGGACGAAATGGTGGATTTAAGGTTTCCCTCCTCCCCCGCATGCATTTCCTCCTCATCATCAGACGTCTTTTAAAAAGAATAAAGAATATACTTTTTATCATATCTTTGGATCTACTTGGCCTAACAACACGATTTAAAAACTGGTTTAAAGTTCATCTCTGCTTTTCACTCAAGAGTCAGAGAGGGCGGCTCTTTACAGGTAGAGTTTTTTCTTTCTTCCTAAACTTTATTTAGCTCAGCCAGCATTGACAACGCTCTGCGGGTGACGTAATCGGCTCCACGACACGGCGAGGGACGCATAAATCCCGTGACACAACGAATTGATAATGAAATTCATTGCCAACGCTTCTAATAATCGATTTTTATCGATTTTATCAATTCATTGTTGCAGCCCTAATTTACTGTTAAATTTGTACAAGTGTGTATATATAGGTCTTCTGGACGGGTTCTTCTCTAATGAAACGTTTCGTCTCTCCTCCAAGAGACTTCTTCAGTCTGAGAGTTTCAGGCAAAATTCAGGCTTTTAAGCCCAGCCTCCAGGTGACTGATACTCACATCACATGGCTATCGTTGACACCTAATTAACACTTATTGTTAACAGGGGGTGAGTGATACTGGCAATGGCAGTGCTGTAGGAGGGGGACAACTGAAAACGGAGGCCTCCACCTCTGTTTAATGATGGACGGTCTTTCTTCACAAAAATGGCTTCTTTTACTCCTCTCTCAAACCAACGTTCCTCTCTATCAAGAATGAGAACATCCTCATCTCTGAAAGAGTGACCGCTGGCCTGTAAATGAGTGAAAACTGCAGAGTTCTGGCCATTAGACGTAGTGTTAATTAGGTGTCAACGATAGCCATGTGATGTGAGTATCAGTCACATGGAGGCAGGGCTTAAAAGCCTGAATTTTGCCTGAAACTCTCAGACTGAAGAAGTSTCTTGGAGGAGAGACGAAACGTTTCATTAGAGAAGAACCCGTCCAGAGGACCTATACAATTTTTTTCTTTTTGATTTTTTACCTGAATTACTGAGATGCATCAGGACATGCTGGAATTTTAATTTCTCTGAAGGAATCTTATCCTTTCCAGCTTTTACTCCATTCAATAATACTGTTATTTTTGCTATCTAAATAACATATTTGGCCTAGTAAAGATTATTTTAGTTATATTAGTGTAATTGTATTTAGATTTCAACTGTACTTGAAATCTGAAAACCTGTAAACTTGTTGTCATCTAGAGCAGGGGTTTCCAAACTTTTCCATGCCATGGCCCCCCAAACAGCATTAGCTTCTGGCCAGAGACTCACATTGTAAACCCACAAACAATGCTACAAAATACGTAAAAAAAAGCCATAAACCTTTATGTTTTTTCTCACTTTTGTTGACTATTCAATAATTATTACATTTGTTTAGTCTAAGAATTTTATTACCCAACATATTTTAAACACTGCATTATATTCCCTCATATGCTCTTTCATGTACAGTGCTCTGAGACAACGTATGTTGTGACTTGGCGCTATAATAATAAATAGAATTGAAAAAAAAAACCTTTTCAACCGATGGTTGATGATAAGAACAGAACAAAAGAAATCAAACCTCTCTAAAATAACCTTTCAAGGTATTATAAATTATATTTTAAAATAATGATTAAAACAAAGATTTGATTTAATGAAAGTGATTTAAAACATTTATTAGATCTTCCCTCCAGCTTTCTGAGGCCTCCCCAGTGCCCTCTAGCTGCCCCATTTTGATAAACACTGATCCAGACATCAATATTCTTGAGCAAGAAGGTTAAACTAGCTAAAATTGAACAAAAATATTGTACCTAAAAATAGAATACCTGATGGTCTCCAGTAATTCATCCAATTGTCAAACCTACTCTAGAGCTGCTGCTCTAGCTGTATTGTGTACCTGACAAGTATATACTGTACTTCTCAGTAGGAATGTGCGATATAAACGATATACGGTAAAAACTATATAAATTTGTCCTATGATAGAGATCTGTAGTCTACCGGCCAACCGCGCAATTCTTTTTGATGACTTAACCAGCTGGAGTCAAAACAGAGGAAGCGGGAAGCAGCGTGGCTGAGAGCGCAAATGAAGATGGGGAAAAAACATAACTTATCCGGACCTGGTAAGGGTGTGCGAAAATGAACGCCGAACTGTTTACATGTTGATGTGACGGCGCGTCCTGTCCGCTGCAGCGGGAGGAGCGCACGCCGTGGCACATGGTGAACGCAGCGAGGCGACTGTCAGTGCAGGTGAGGACGCACAAAAGCTTGTTGAGTCTGGACCTCGTTTCTCCTGCGGTCATAGTGTAATACTGTCTCCTTGTACAGCGGGGAAGCGCTGTGGGAAAGGCTTRTTGTCAGATTGTCCCCCCCCAAAAAAAACCATAAACAGGATGATTGTCACCCCGCCAGTGCGCGCACAGATTAAAACATGTGGAGTGCAGAAAAAGTAATAAATAAATACAAGCAATTTGTTTTACCACCTTAAAACGAAGCAGGTGATTCCAAACACAACATCCAATGGATGCAGATATCTATTACATTAAAGTTATTGTGTGTGTGTGTTATATATATAATCATATATATAATCTCTGATTTAACCAGGTAGGTCTCCCTTAAATTTTAGAGTTTTATGGGAGACTTTAAAGTGTCCCTTGAAAAAGGAGATTTTTAAGGTCTATATTTTTTACCTATACATATTTATTCCACCCAATTAATGTGTGATTTATTTATTGTTTATTATAAGTTTTATATCGTGATATATATCGTTACCGCCACCCATCATAATGTATATTGTGATATGAATTTTTTTGCCATATCGCACAATCTTACTTCTCAGCTGTACTTGTACTTGGTATTGAGAAATGGCCACCATCTACCTTAATGTTAATGCCTGGGCTGAAATAAAGGTTTTTGCAATAAAGACAAATTTGAATGCTTTTCTAGAAAGTTTAACTTCGTCTCAGAGGCTTATTCTTACTGAAAGCGGCAATATCATGTAAAATCAACTTTTTTGAGTTTTATATCATGTTATAATGTTATACTCTCATAAAAACATGCCCAAAGCCTTGCTTTGACTCATTCATGCATGTTTGAGAAATCCTGCAGTGTTTTTAGGAAGCCATGCTGAGGAGCAAAACGACAGGTGGGGACCAGAAACACCCCTGGGACGTGTCTTTAAGCCGAACTTCCACATGGCAGAGAACACCCCCTCCCCACACATGACTCCTGCAGGCTCTCGGGTGAAAGTGAAAGTGAAACCTAACTGTCTGCTGAGCTCTCAACATTAGTTCTCACTCAGTGAAGCTCTTTTCAGATTCAAAATACCCCCGCACTGAAATGGGTCAGACAGAGGCGAAGGAGGTTCTTAAACAGACAGAGGCCAATTTCAAGGCGTTTAGAAGAGAAGTGATGAGAAAAGTTTATTTTCTATTTAAACATAAAAACAGCATTTTAATAACAGCTAAAGGTGACAGATACTTTATTATGGTGTAGTATTTATAGTATTTAAATGTATGCCTGAGAAACACATAATATTGGCCCTTTAAAAATAGTGCTGTGTGCAAACAAGTGAGAATGCAGAGACACAGTTGAGTAGGAGAATAACTAGTATGGTAAGTAGTATAACCTTAAATCAATGCATTGGAAGTAGACTGATTAAMCTTCCATCTATAAATGACAGCTGTGATGCTTGTTTACTGACCTTGATAACTTTCTCCACACCCGAGGAACAGATCATGTAGTTGTGGGGATTAAAGCGAACCTGGTTCACAATGGAGCGATGACCCTTCAGGACCATGAAAGCTCCATTTACCACACGTCCAGGTCCTCCTAATAGAGAAAAGCTTTGTTAATGTGATGATAGCAGAGGAGACAGAATATGACTCAAACCAAACAAATTTGGATATTTCAATTGCTGAAAAGTAGACGTCAGGATTTCTAGATGTTTTTAAAAGCTGTTGAACCCAGTCCCTGTTTGGTAGCTGGATTTCCTTTGCCTTCTTCAATTACTATTTGCATTTCTCTGTAAATGTATATGTAAATGGGCTGGTATTTTATTTTTATTTTTACTGTTGTCTCTTATTTCTTTATTTTTCATTAGGCTCAATGTTGCTGCTGATACACCTTTTGAGACAAAAATATTTGACGGCTCCATGATGTTTGTTGCATTGTTGTTTTTGTATTTTTTGTATTGTACAGCACTTTGTGAAGTCATTTCTAAGAAAAGTGCTTTATAAATAACATTTTACTTACTTACTTCTCCTTATAATACGTAACTTTTATAATTGTATACCCACTATTTTATTCTTAGACTGTCACCAAGGTTGCCCTTTGTCACGATTCTGTTCATAACCTTTATGGACAGATTCTCTAGGCACAGCCAAGCTGTTGAGGGGACCMGTTTGGTGGCCTTAGGATCACCTCTTTGCTTTTTTGAAGATGATGTGGTCCTACTGGCTTCAACAGATTGTGATCTCCGAGTCCTGCCCCAAGTGGAGGCGTTTAAGTATCTCGGGTTCTTGTTCACAAATGAGGGATTTTACTGGTCAATCTACATTCCTACCCTCATCTATGGTCACAAGCTTCGGGTAGCGAACGAAAGAACGAGATCGCAGATACAAGCGGGCGAAATGGGCTCTCCCTTAGAGATAGGGTGAGAAGCTCAGTCATCCGGGAGGGACTCAGATTAGAGCCGCTGCTCCTCCACGTCGAGAGGAGCCAGTTGAGGTGRCTCGGACATCTGGTTAAGATGCCTCCTGGATGCCTCTCTAGTGAGGTGTTCCGGGCACGTCCCACCAGGAGGAGAACCAGAGGAAGACCCAGGACACGCTGGAGGGACTATGTTTCTCGGCTGGCCTGGGAACACCTTGGGATTCCACCAGACGAGCTGGCCCAAGTGGCTGGAGAAAGGAAAATCTGTGTCTCTCTGCTTAGGCCGCTGGCCCCGTGACCCAACCCTGGATAAGCGGAAGATGATGGATGGATAAATGCATGATAAAAAAAGTAATATTTTTCTTTTCCCAATATGAATTGTATCCACAGGCTGTGTGTCGAACTGAAATTTGGATAAATTCGTTCCTTTTTTCTCTTTGAAAATATTCACATTAAAAAAAACTTAATTGCTTTAATGAATCCGACTTTTACTMAAAAAAAAGGCAAAAGAATTTAAAAGAACTGTAAAATAATTTTCAAAATGCCAACAGTTCAAAGGGCGCAGCATCTTGTCTTATCCTAGTTTTGTTTCCATTATTGGGAGTTGCCCTGTTTTACATGAAGCTACTGATTTTTAGACAAATACTAAAAAAAATATTAGAGCCTGTATGAATTTAAAAAAGTGTTTTACTTATTATTTCATGTATCTGCTCTCGTGATGTTACAAGATCACTACAAGTGCAAATAGCACAAGATTTCTTGTTGGGTTGAAAACTAAAAAACTTTGTCTCGTGACTTTGTTTGTTGAAATCATTACTGAAGATGTCCCCACGACTTTAAATCGGTTGTGTGGCAGCAGTTTAAACAAACTTGTCAGGCACTAGGACCAGCACAATCATAGGAGCAGGAAAAGCACCTTCATCGGGAGCTTTTCTTGCTCCTGATGAAGGCTGAAGCCCCTGCAGCTAAATGCTGAGAGAAACAGTATCTATTGCTACACTCTTATTTTAAAAAAACAAAACAACCTTACGTAGTGCTCAAAATTCAAACTGTAAATTGGCAACTTTGAAGCGGAGATAATAAAGTTTGAATCTGTAAACTCTGAACACAGTGACATTCTGGCAATATAATCTATTTTTAATTTTAAACCATGCTTCATATCAACAGCATGCAGTAAAATAAAAGGCCAGCAGGGCAGACAGATTCAGTAACTCACCTGCTTCTGGGTCATTTGGGATTTTCCACATGTAGAGGTTGAAGTCATCTGATCCAGACAAGATGTACTGAAGAGAAAAACAAATGGATTAGATTCAACAACACCAAAAAGAGAGTGACAGTTTCATGTATCATGTATTTTTTGTACTTGATACACAGCATAAAACCAACAGATCTCACA